GTTGCTCTGCCTCGGCTTTCTGGTAGAGCCCTGATGTCTCCATAAAGAGTACCTGTCACTTTCCCGAAGCTATCACTGGGGGCTTATGTTCCCCCTTCGATAGTAATAAAGTTAAATGAAAAAAAAAAAGGAAAAAGCTAACAGATAAGTAAATAATAAAAATAAAAAAATTAAGGTAAAAAAAAGACTCTGTGCCTGGGATAACCCTCAGCCCCTCCCCTTTATACTCACCGGAAACCTATTATGATCCAGCTCTGTGCATGAGAGTCGCTGCTCTCCCAGCTGTGTCCCTCCTCACAGGGCAGATCAATAACAGTGGGAGGCATTGGCTCCCATTGCTGTCAATCAAACTCTGCGATGAGGGAGCAGGGGGCGGGGCTGTGTATGTCTATGGACACAGGCAGAAGGGTTTGGGAGTGAACCCGCAAAAGTGCCCTCATAGGAAACGGCTTCTTATGGGACAACTGATTAGAGAGGAGGAGCTGCCAATCAAACTCTGTGACGATGGTGAATAGGGGGTGGGGTCTTGCCCTGCTTTCTGTGTCTATGGATGCATGTAGCAGGGCTCTGAAGCGAGCCAGCATGAGTGCCTCCATAGGAAGCTGCTTCCTATGGGGGCATTTATTGAAGAGTAGGAGCTGTCAATCAAACTGTGTGACAAGGGAGCAGGGGGTGGGGCTTTGCCACGATTCCTGTGTCTATGGATGCAGGCAGCAGGGCTCAGAAGCCAACCCCCATGATTGCCCCTATTAGAAGAGGCACCCTATTAGGGCAATGAATGAAGAGGAGGAGCTGTCAATCGAACTCTGTGATGAGGGAGTGGGGGGGTGGGGCCGTAACCTGCTTTCTGTGTCTATGGATGCAGGCAGCAGAGCTCAGAAGCGAGCTTGCATGAGTGCTCCCATAGGAAGCTGCTTCCTTTGGGGACACTGAATGAAGAGGAGGAGCCAGGAGCGCCAGCAGGGGACCCCGAGAAGAGGAGTATCGGGGCTGCTCTGTGCAAAACCAAGAAGAGGAGCTGTCAATCAACATCTGTGATGAGGGAGCAGGGGGGGGGGGGCCTTGCCACACTGCCTGTGTCTATGGATGCAGGTAGCAGGGCTCAGAAGCCAACCCCCATGATTGCCCTTCCTATAGAGGCTTCCTATGAGGGCACTAAATGAAGAGGAGGAGCTGTCAATCAAACTGTGTGACGAGGGTAAGCGGTGGGTGGGGCCTTGTCCTGCTATCTGTGTCTATGCATGCAGGCAGCAGGGCTCCGAAGCAAGCCCAGATGAATGCCCCCATAGGAAGCTGCTTCCTTTGGGGGCACTGAATGAAGAGGAGGAGCCAGGAGCGCCAGCAGGGGACCTCGAGAAGAGGAGTATTGGGGCTGCTCTGTGCAAAACCAAGAAGAAGAGCTATCAATCAAACTCTGTGATGAGGGAGTGGGGGGTGGGGCTGTGCCCTGCTTTCTGTGTCTATGGATGCAGGCTGCAGAGCTCAGATGCGAGCTTGTATGCTTGCCCCCATAGGAAGCTGATGCCCATGGCGGCACTGAATCACCTTCCTATGAGTGCACTTATTGAAGAGGATGAGCTGTCAATCAAACTGTGTGACGAGGGTAAGCGGTGGGTGGGGCCTTGTCCTGCTATCTGTGTCTATGGATGCAGGCAGCAGGGCTCCGAAGCAAGCCCACATGAATGTCCCCATAGGAAGCTGCTTCCTTTGGGGGCACTGAATGAAGAGGAGGAGCTGTCAATCAAACTCAGTGACGAGGGTAAGCGGTAGGTGGGACCTTGTCTTGCTATCTGTGTCTATGGATGCAGGCAGCAGGGCTCAGAAGCAAGCCCACATGAATGCCCCCATAGGAAGCTGCTTCCTTTGGGGGCACTGAATGAACAGGAGGAGCCAGAAGCGCCAGCAGGGTACCCCCAAGAAGAGGAGGATCGGGGCTGCTCTGTGCAAAACCAAGAAGAGGAGCTATCAATCAAACTCTGTGATGAGGGAGTGGGGGGGGGGGGGGGGGGATGGGGCAGAGCTGTGCCCTGCTTTCTGTGTCTATGGATGCAGGCAGCAGAGCTCAGAAGCGAGCTTACATGAGTGCACTGATTGAAGAGGAGGAGCTGTCAATCAAACTCTGTGATGAGGGTAAGCGGTGGGTGGGGCCTTGTCCAGCTATCTGTGTCTATGCATGCAGGCAGCAGGGCTCCAAAGCAAGCCCACATGAATGCCCCCATAGGAAGCTGCTTCCTTTGGGGGCACTGAATGAAGAGGAGGAGCCAGGAGCGCCAGCAGGGGACCTCGAGAAGAGGAGGATCTCGGGGCTGCTCTGTGCAAAACCATTACACAGAGCACATAAGTATAACATGTTTATTATTTTAATAAAAAACAAAAGACGGTTTACAATCACTTTCATGCTTCAACAAAGTATCTCTTCCCACCATGCACAGACTATAGGCTCGGGGTCCTTTTTTTTTTTCAAGCTAACTATGTAACAACGCACATCTCTTCCTCAATGTGATTCTCTACATGGCCGGCTACATCCCCGTATCATTTCACACACAACACGGTATCTCATTTTTTTATTTTTTATTTTTTCCCCAATCTGTAAACTCCACTTAAAATATGTGCATTTCCTAAAAATAAAAATGGAATCACTTTTTCCCCGCAATGCCACAGCTTGTAAAAAAAAACAAAAAAAAAAACAAACGCAAGGCACGAGCCAGGAATGCATGAATATCATTTCAGTGTAACACATTTTTTTTTGTGTGTGTGTGTCGAATCTCATAAACCACACTCAAAAAAAAAAAAAAAATCTGGGAGGAAGAGGAATGGGTAGTAAGCATGAATTGAGTGCCCATCCCCCTGCCTCCAGCGACATTACCATAAGCTAAAAAGCCGAAGCTGCTGGTCAGAGCGCTTCTTAATAAATATATATATATATATATATATATATATATGTATAGAGCAGAGCGTGAGCATTAACAAAAGATGCTGTAATGGCCTGGTAACACCACTGCGGTATTGTGTGCTCCTCGCGTATATCCCGATGTGTTCCCAGGCTCACGCCGCTGCTATGGCGCAGCTTCTAAAATTCGATTTTGGAAGCGAGTATCTGGTTGCTTTCTGCATTAATGCCTGCATTAGCTCCCTGCTGCTGCGGATTTCATGCTCTATAAATTGCTGATTTTAAGGTCCCTGATTTTTATTCCTCTGCATCCCGGCTTTTATTTTTTTTAATGGTTTCATTTGGTGATAAAGTCGTTGTAGATTTTATAGATATTGATTTGGATTCTGGGCGTGCGGAGAAGGGCGGTCACTGACACCGCGTGGAAGGTTTTTTTTTTTTTTTTCCCCCTCTTCTCTTCACTCCTGCAGTGACCGTGAACACCTTTTTTTTTTTTTTTTATGCTATGTAATCATTCTCAGGTGTTAATGGGACAGTAATTGGTGGAAAGACTAAGGAGAGGGGGGGGGGGGGGGGGGGGGGGGGGGGGGGGGGGGGGGGGGGGGATGGTGGGAGACGAATTTATGGAATTGAAATCTTTTTTCATTCTCTTCTTCCAGTTTTTTCAATCTCTAAAGTCCTCCGCGTACTGATTGGCTGTCACTATGGAGATTTAGGCTGCTGTATTCCCTTTTCGTTTCGAGAGATGTGCCTTCGCAGCGTGTTCTGTGTGTCTTTTCATATACATTAAAACACACCAAACCAAGGCGCTATACATAGTGAGGCGCATAGGTGACGAGGGAGGCTGACGACTCTGGGAATGGGGTCCCCTCTCTGCAGTATGGCCACCGCTAAGAAAAAAAAAATCTAAATTAAATGTAAAAATTAAAAGATTTTGCACATTATACAGAATATATATGTAAGGGGGGGGGGGGGGGGGGGGGGGGGGGGGGGGTGGGGGTGGGGGGCGGGGGTACAGCCTTGCTCAATAAATCAGCAACCTATACAATCTCAAGGCTCTTTCATTTTGCTTTTGTTTAGGAATAGGTAGGCAGCTTCTAGAATGATCAGAGGTGCCTCAGTAGCTGCCCTCCCTGTATACATATGAACAGTATTTATAAAAAAAAAAGAAAAAATCGCAAATAATGCAACACAGAGAAGAGCCGCCATGTATATAAAAGTATCAAATTGTTATTTTTTTTTTTAATGATATTTTACCGGATGAAGGATCCTTGGGGGTCGGAAACTGTTGTGTGGATGAGTATGTTGCCCGAAATCATCCCATTTTTCTCTACATGGAACCCAGAGTTCCTCCAGAGGTTGTTGAGGGTTCTTGAGCTGAGGCTGATGGACCTTGTATTTGATGGTGTCTTCATAGTTCTGGGTCAATGCCACTTGGTAGAACCAGTTGCATGAAGACAATGATCTTTTCTAGCCATTTGTAGGGATTTAATTTTGACCACCAATGACCACAAATGTAAGGAGCATTCCTCCCACTGACCCCAATGTAAGGGACATTCTTCCCACTGACCCCCAATGTAAGGGACTTTCTTCCCACTGACCCCCAATGTAAGGAGCATTCTTCCCACTGACCTCCAATGTAAGGGACATTCTTCCCACTGACCACCCAATGTAAGGAGACATTCTTCCACACTGAGCCAAGGGACATTCTTCCCACTGACCAATGTAAGGGACATTTTTCCCACTTTGTGTAAGGGACATTCTTCCCACTGACCACCAATTGATTCATCCCACTGACCCCAATGTAAGGACATTCTTCCCACTGATCCCAATAAAAGGGACATTCTTCCCACTGACCACCCAATGTAAGGGACTTTCTTCCCACTGACCCCCAATGTAAGGGACATTCTTCCCACTGACCCCAATGTAAGGGACATTCTTCCCACTGACCACCAATTAATGTAAGGGACATTCTTCCCACTGATCACCAATGTAAGGGACATTCTTCCCACTGACCCCCAATGTAAGGGACATTCTTCCCACTGACCCCCAATGTAAGGGACATTCTTCCCATGACCCCCAATGTAAGGGACATTCTTCCCACTGACCCCAATGTAAGGGACATTCTTCCCACTGACCACCAATGTAAGGGACATTCTTCCCCCTGACCCCCAGTGTAAGGGACATTCTTCCCACTGATCACCAATGTAAGGGACATTCTTCCCACTGACCCCCAATGTAAGGGACATTCTTCCCACTGACCCCAATGTAAGGGACATTCATCCCACTGACCCCCAATGTAAGGGACATTCTTCCCACTGACCACCAATGTAAGGGACATTCTTCCCACTGATCCACCAATGTAAGGGACATTCATTCCACTGACCCCAATGTAAGGGACATTCTTCCCACTGACCACCAATGTAAGGGACATTCTTCCCACTGACCCCCAATGTAAGGGACATTCTTCCCACTGACCCCCAATGTAAGGGACATTCTTCCCACTGACCACCAATGTAAGGGACATTCTTCCCACTGACCCCCAATGTAAGGGGACGTTCTCCCACTGATCCCCAATGTAAGGGACGTTCCTCCCACTGACCCCCAATGTAAGGGACATTCCTCCCACTGACCCCCAATGTAAGGGGACATTCTTCCTCCCACTGACCCCAATGTAAGGGACATTCTTCCCACTGACCCCCAATGTAAGGGACATTCTTCCCACTGATCACCAATGTAAGGGACATTCTTCCCACTGACCCCCAATGTAAGGAGCATTCTTCCCACTGACCACCCAATGTAAGGGACATTCTTCCCACTGACCACCAATGTAAGGGACATTCTTCCCACTGACCCCAATGTAAGGGACATTCTTCCCACTGACCACCAAGGTAAGGGACATTCTTCCCACTGACCACCAATGTAAGGGACATTCTTCCCACTGACTACCAATGTAAGGGGCATTCTTCCCACTGACCACTAATGTACAGGGACCCTTCCCTCCGAGCCAGGGTGTGGCTGCAAGTGAGACCTTTGTGACCCTGATAGTTCCGCCACTAGTGTCATTAGTTATTATTTTATTTTTTTTCTATTATTTTTCTTTTATCTTTTTTTTTCTGCAATTTTTATAATATTATTAATTACACTTTTTTTTTTTAGGAACCCCGTTGGGGGGGTGCGCTTTGTTGAGATATCAGGGGTCTAAACAGACCTCTGATGTTCCACGTTTGACACAGAGAAAGAAGATTGAGGACGCAGCCCTCAATCTCCATCTCTGCAACCTCAGCTGCACAGAATGAATGGACAGAGCTTCCCTCCATTCACAAACTGAAACATAGACCCCTTCCCCAATCTCCATCCTGTCAGATCCCCTGCAGGAGCAGTGGGAGAGGGGAGGGGGTGGGGCCAGGAGAGAGCACAGGGGGCTGGGAAAGAGCTCAGGGGGGCTGGAGAGCACATGGGGGGTAGCAGAAAGAAGCTGGATAGGAGGAGTGGTTGGGTCGGCTGCATGAAGAGGAACTGATCTTTCTATGTTCCTCCTGCAGCTGCTGAATGCCTGCTTCTCCTCCTCTCCCTCCCGCAGGTATTCAGCGGCTGCAGGAGGAACAAGGAGAGATTGGTTCCTCTATATACAGCTGCCCCGAAGCTCCTCCTATCCAGGCATAAAAATGGGGGTAAGGGTGCACATGGGCTCCCTGCAAAAAATGGGGCCTGGGTCTCGATTGCGACCCCTGCAATCCCTGTAGGTATGCCCCTATGTTCCTCCTGAAGCTGCTGAATGCCTGCTTCTCTTCCTTTCCCTCCCGCAGGTATTCAGTGGCTGCAGGAGGAACATGGAGATTGGTTCCTCTATATACAGCTGCCCCACTGCTCCTCCTATCCAGGCATAACGGGGTTGGGAGGGGCGTATGGGCTCCCTGCAGCATGGGGCCTGGGTCTCGATTGCGACCCCTGCAGTCCCTGTAGGTATGCCCCTGGCCACCACATCTAATTGCTAAGCTGCAATATATATTTTTGGTTTTGGAGTTTGATACCGCTCTAAGGTAAGACAGAAAGTTTATTCAGACAGGAGCAAAGAAATCGGCTCGGGGTTCAGCATTCTCTTCTGCAGAAAGGGTCGTCTCTCATGTGGCCAGCACTACTAAAGGGAGCCTAGAGCAGCACTTTCTCCAGGAAGGGCATATTGTCCTCTCTTTCACTCTTTATTGATCTATCCAAGCAAACCTGTTAACATAGTTTATGAGGGAACTTGTCTCGGGAATGTTACATTCGTCTTATCCCAATGGCTGTTTAAACAGTGAAGAAGAATCATTGTAGAAGTTAATCTTTCCGGCTTCTAGCGGGTAATCTATAATTCCTGTATTTAATCCTTCTTAACCCTCTTGTATTGTACTGTAACTGTACTGCCTGCATTGGAAGGCTCTGCGCAAACTGGTGGCACTATATAAATCCTGTATTATAATAACAACAATAATAACAATAATAATAATAACAACAATAATAATAACAATAATAAAAAACAATAATAATAAAACAACAATAATAAAAAAATAATAATAATAAACAATAATAATAATAACAAAAAAATAATAACAATAATAAAAAAAATAATAATAACAATAATTCACAAATAATAAATAAAAACAATAATTCAATAACAATAATTTTAATAATAATAACAAAACCATAATTCTAATAAAAATAATAATAACAAAAAATAATAATAATCCAATAACAAATAATATTAATAAAAATAATAAAAAAATTCAATAACAATATTAATAATAATAATAAAAAAAACAATAATAGCAACAATAATAATTCCAATAATAATAACGTATAATAATAATAATAATATAATAATATAATAATTATAATCTGCCCCAAATTACATCACCGATCTTGTCTCTAAATATCACCCAAAACCGTACTCTCCTCTCCTCGCAAGACCTCCTGCTCTCTTGCTCCCTTGTCTCCTCCCATGCTCATCTCCCAGGGACTCGTCTCCAGAGCTTCCCCCATCCCTCTGGGAACTCTCTACCCAATTTATCAGACTATGGTCTACTCTGCTCACTTTTAGGCGATCTCTGAAAACCGATCTCTTCAGGGAAGCCTATCCTGCCCTCAGCTAGTAATGGAATCTTCTACTCCTCCTACCAGTCCATCCCCCACAGTTACTACCTTTTGTACCACTAGCCCCTCCCTCCTAGATTGTAAGCTCCCAGGATCAGGGCCCTCCTATCCCTCTTGTATTGAACTGTATTGTTGCTGTATTGTCTCCCGTTATATTGTAAAGTGCTGAGCAAACTGTTGGCGCCATAAATCCTGTATATAATAATAAAAACAATAATAATATTTTTAATATATTTTTTGTTATTAATATATTTTATTAAATTTTATTCTCAGTACAAATTAAAACAATACATACATTATCAAACATTAAACAAACAATATTAACTGTCCTTTCCGTATACCCCCACCCCTTCTCAACCCCTCCCCCTATCCCCATAACTCCCCTGTCAATCTATATTCTACCTATCCCTTTCTAAAACTTTCTCCTAAATACCTCTAGTCAGTCTTCATGATTACCACCAACAGTTCAGTTTAAATCTCTAAATTGACCTACTTGGTACCCATCATCCTGACATATTTTTCTGATGATTTAAAAACATACCACATATTCCAATCTTTTCTACAATTGTTTCCATTTTATCTCCCTCCATGTGATATAACTCCTCCATCGTGCATATATATTCAATGCTCCTCATCCAATCTCTCATTGTTGGGGGATCTGGAAATTTAGGGATTAATCCTTTTGCAGCGCTAATTAGCCAGGTCCCAGTCCGGACACATTCACCCCCTTCCAGTCCGGACACTTTCCCCCCCTTCCAGTCCGGACACTTTCCCCCCCTTCCAGTCCGGACACTTTCCCCCCTTCCAGTCCGGACACTTTCCCCCCCTTCCAGTCCCTTCCAATCCCGGACACTTTCCCCCCCTTCCAGTCGCGGACACTTTCCCCCCCTTCCAGTCCCTGGACACTTTCCCCCCCTTCCAATCCGGACACTTTCCCCCCCTTCCAGTCCGGACACTTTCCCCCCCTTCCAGTCCGGACACTTTCCCCCCTTCCAGTCCGGACACTTTCCCCCCCTTCCAATCCGGGACACTTTCCCCCCCTTCCAGTCCGGACACTTTTCCCCCCTTCCAGTCCGGGACGCTTTCCTCCCCTTCCAGTCCGGACACTTTTCCCCCTTTCCAGTCCGGACGCTTTCACCCCCTTCCAGTCCAGACACTTTCACCCCCTTCCAGTCCGGACGCTTTCCCCCCCTTCAAGTCCGGACACTTTCACCCCCTTCCAGTCGGACACTTTCCCCCCCTTCCAGTCCGGACACTTTCACCCCCCTTCCAGTCCGGACACTTTCCCCCCCTTCCATTCCGGACACTTTCACCCCCTTCCAGTCCGCACACTACCCCCCCTTCCAGTCCAGGACACTTTCCCCCCTTCCAGTCCAGACACTTTCTCCCCCTTCCAGTCCGCACACTAACCCCCCCCCCCCCCCGCCTTCCAGTCTGGACACTTTCCCCCCCTTCCAGTCCAGGACACTTTCCCCCCCTTCCAGTCCGGACACTTTCACCCCCTTCCAGTCTGGACACTTTCCCCCCCTTCCAGTCCGGACACTTTCCCCCCTTCCAGTCCGGACACTTTCACCCCCTTTAAGTTGGGACACTTTCCCCCCCTTCCAGTCCGGACACTTTCCCCCCCCTTCCAGTCCAGATAATTTCACCCCCTTCCAGTCCGGACACTTTCACCCCCCTCCCAGTGCGGACACTTTCCCCCCCTTCCAGTCCGGACACTTTCCCCCCTTCCAGTCCGGACACTTTCCCCCTTCCAGTCCGGACACTTTCACCCCCTTTAAGTTGGGACACTTTCCCCCCCTTCCAGTCCGGACACTTTCCCCCCTTCCGGTCCGGACACTTTCCCCCCCTTCCAGTCTGGACACTTCCCCCCCCTCCAGTCCAGATAATTTCACCCCCTTCCAGTCCGGACACTTTCACCCCCCTTCCAGTCCGGACACTTTCCCCCCCTTCCAGACCGGACACTTTCCCCCCCTTCCAGGGACCGGACACTTCCCCCCCCTTCCAGTCCGGACACTTTCACCCCCTTCCAGTCCGGACACTTTCACCCCCTTCCAGTCCGGACACTTTCACCCCCTTCCAGTCCGGACACTTTCACCCCCTTCCAGTCCGGACACTTTCACCCCCTTCCAGTCCGGACACTTTCCCCCCCTTCCAGTCCGGACACTTTCCCCCCCTTCCAGTCCGGACACTTTCACCCCCTTCCAGTCCGGACACTTTCACCCCTTCCAGTCCGGACACTTTCACCCCCTTCACAGCCCGGACACTTCCCCCCCTTCCAGTCCGGACACTTTCCCCCCCTTCCAGTCCGCACACTACCCCCCCTTCCAGTCCAGACACTTTCTCCCCCTTCCAGTCCGGACACTTTCTCCCCCTTCCAGTCCGCACACTACCCCCCCCTTCCAGTCCAGACACTTTTTCCCCCCTTCCAGTCCAGACACTCCCCCCCCCCCCCTTCCAGTCCGGACACTTTCACCCCCTTCCAGTCTGGACACTTCCCCCCCCCTTCCCAGTCCAGGATAATTTCACCCCCTTCCAGTCCGGACACTTTCACCCCCCTTCCAGTCCGGACACTTTCACCCCCCTTCCAGTGCGGACACTTTCCCCCCCCTTCCAGTCCGGACACTTTCCCCCCTTCCAGTCCGGACACTTTCACCCCCCGTTAAGTTGGGACACTTTCCCCCCCCCTTCCAGTCCGGACACTTTCCCCCCTTCCAGTCTGGACACTTTCCCCCCCTTCCAGTCTGGACACTTCCCCCCCCTTCCAGTCCAGATAATTTCACCCCCTTCCAGTCCGGACACTTTCACCCCCCCTTCCAGTCCGGACACTTTCCCCCCCCTTCCAGTCCGGACACTTT